TTGAATTAGTTCCTCAAAGAGTTAAGAAAAATCTGAAGGCAAAAGAAGGTCCAACAACCTTGTCCGGGTATGTTAAAGTGTCCATTATTTCAAACTAGCAGACCTTCGTCAGAGCATCACACTGAACTCACTCCCAGCCAACAGTTAAGACTGAATGAGGAGTCTATACTGCATTTTCGGAAGTCAGAAACCATGAAATTAAAAAATACTGTTGAACAAAAGCCTAATTGTTAAAAAATCTGTCGCCACGAAGCTGACAGCTACATTCAACATTTTCCGAGATTTGCTATCAAACTGTTATTAAACGGCTGACTTTGTACGTTTAAATATGCATGATGTGGACCGAGGTATCTCTGGGTTAAAAGAGAGTTGATTTTGCATTTTAAGCTTTCTCCTAAAATGAACGAAAGGAAATCAAGAAATTCCCTGGAGTCTCCCTGCTTCGTCTTGCTCCGTTAATGTTGTATGAAAAAAAGACAAGACGATCCAACCTAAAAATACTCTTCTGCTCAGCTGGTAACGGGCATTTGAGGAGTCACTGTGAGTCACAAAGAACAGGTCCCCTGTTCTGTCACTGAGCATAGGTGATGACAACTAAAACCAGTGAAGTGTGTGAAGATCACTGACATCTGAAGAGGCTTCACAAAGATCTCAGACAAGTTCGCTCAAAGTTACTGAAGTCTCTAAACTCCTACCCTTTGACAGTTTCTTGACAGCACCCCTGTTGACAGCGTTGTACAGTTATACTGTTGTATGGTTGGAGAAGCCCCTCTTTAAAGTTCCACCTCTGTGGTTTTACCAATTGCCTGTTAAAGGTTAGGAGCAAATGGGAATCCATGAATGAGAAAGTCAACATTACCATCATCCCAGACATGATTCACATGCGGCTGTTCAAGCATGAAGAGCTTCTGCTTATCAAAAGTCAACATTCATCCAATCTATTCACGCGTTTATCCCCCGTAGCTGATTCCGTTTATGATTAATGCTTACACGTGTTTAATCAGGCCTCATTGAAGCCACTTATTGAAATTCTGTCACCATGAACTGCTCTTATTATCAGCTTTTTGTAGCAAGGAGCATCATTTAGGTTGGTTCGAGTCGGTGTTAAATACGTGCAACTCAAAGAAAGGATAAATAAATGTGATAAATCAAAAGTGGAAAAGTACGTTTATGCTACTGAAAAGGTGTTGGATCTTATCACACCCAATATTTTTTTACATCAGTTATTTCCTGTTTAACTTCTGCACCAACACACATATTTATTTTACTTTTGTTGTAAATGTTTTTTCCGCTTGTGTTTGAATGGACGCCACACTCGTCTTATTTCACGCAGATTCTAATATTAAGCTGGAGTTTCCTCCTTTTTTGTTACTTTATGCATTATTTGTGCAGGATTAAAGTACGCAGAATCTCTCGAGAGCATGGGAGTTGAATAAATCTGTATAAATAAATCATCAGTTGGTTCATGATAGTCAGTGTTCACTATTTGTAATGCTCCTTTCTGTGGTATCAAAACTGATTTGTGTGCGTGTTGTTCCTCCAAACCTCCAGACAGTAGCTTATGTATATAAGGAAGGGAATACTAAAGGAAAAAATTCCAATTACCTTTCCTGCAATAGTACAGCCGGGACTTTGACATCATTTATATATGTTTTACAGCAGTTTCCAGCCAATAACAGCGCTTCAAAATGTACTTGCATAAGTTGTTCCTAGGATTCTTTTTTTCCAGTAAACATGTCCAATATCATTGCAAGTATGCAATTCTGATCATCACTGGTAATGTTTTGCATGCAAGATCAGATGGAATCAGTTTGGAAGTGAGAGGGAATTTTTTCAAGACTGATATTGAAAAAGAAGCAAAAACTTTAAGCTGAGGAGAGAAAGGCATGGCACACTGTCCACCCCTGCTATAATTTGAGTAAATATATGAAATCAAAGGATTATTTATTCAAATAATCATTAAGGAAAATGTCCTTGGTATAAAATGAATATGTACCTATTGAGTACATTTTGTTTGGCCATGAGTGTAAACCTTTTGGATCCCTCCTCCTGATGAAACACCAGGAGACACTGCACGCTTTCATGTGATGGTTACATGTGGAGGCAGCCTGTGGTTTATGTCCTAGAGTCTCAGACTGTCCACCAAACACCAGAAATGAACACCGAACAGCAGACTAGCTCTTTAGGTCTGTGGTGATACATGCCGGAGGGCTAATGGAAGCTTTCCTGGTGCTCTGTGGACTCTGTCCCCCTGTGGCATCTTTTTGATGGGTACAAAAGCTGCTGCCTTGGACCTTCTGATTCCTGGATGAACCAAACTTTAATTCTGCAGAAAGCACAGGTGCATACCCTTTTCTTGTTAGCTGGGTTAAATAATTTTCAAATCCAGGGCCAGTTCCTAATGAAGGGTAAGCTTTATATTTCTTTTGATAAGAAAAGCAGGTGGACAACTCCTCGAGTCTTAATGAAGTGGGTGAAATCCCTGCTTACTCAAACAGTGTGTCTAATGGATTTCCTCCTGCCAGCCTGTGCACTGGGACCGCCGGGCGACTGGAAGAAGTGATCAGAAACAATCTGCTCTGCTCTCACTTTAGACTTGAACTGATTGCTGTTGACACAAAATGAAAAAAATATCTAATTGAATCAGTGCTATCTCATGAG